TGATCACATTTTTATAAAAGAAGAAAATTAGGAAATTGTATCTTTGTCAGTATTTGTTGCTGTGACAAATATCCTGTATCAACTGCAATTGCAGTATGAGGGTTGAAATAGTGTTTTGAGCTTTGTCCCTTGCATTACCATTTTTAGATGTATTATCTACCTCAGCTTTTAATACCTGCTGCAATCATGCACGTACTCTGTGAACTTCAGTGGATTTACTTGTTAAAGATAAGCTACTTTGTATAGAAAAGACTTTATAATGAGCCCAGTGTTGGGCAGTGATGCATAGAGACCCACTGCACTAAATTTTCTGGAAGCTGATGAAGATAGCCTTTGGTCCCCATGGATTTTCTGTATTAAAAAAAAAAAAAAATCTAAGTAAAAAAGATTGTTCCTTTCCTCCTGGATTTTTAATGTAATTTACACTAAAATAAAAATTAGAAGCCAAACCCAACAGCCCACCTATACAGGTATATGAGTTTATAACAGAAAAAGACAAAGGACATATTGTAAAATCCATGTTACAGAGTAAGAAAGAGGTAGAAAGATATCAGCAGCTTTACCTAAAGTAAAACAAGAAATACACAGCAATAATAATGACTGGCCTCCAGAAGCCAGAAAGTTATCATTCCTGCTAGAATGTGTGAATCTTCTTTGGTACCGTAATCAAGTCTCTGTCAATGATATACACACTGCTGCAAAATGCCAGCCATGAAGGAAAAGGAAAAAGTACTTACCTTGTTCATTATTCCCTCTTCTGACAGGACTGGAAAGAGCAGTTTTCTTTAATACCAAGGTACTTCAATTACTTTTGTAGCACAAATACATTCCTCTTATTTTCTGCTTCTTTGGCTATAGAGGAAAGAAAGGATTGCTGTCCTGGATTGTGGAGACAATGACTATGTTTTGCTCTCCACAAGAATTTGGAGCCTATGTCTTTGCAGGTGCAATTTTTCAGTCTTCAACCAAAACACTGCAAATTACTTTCATCAAGTCCTGTAATACTTTTAGCTATAACATTGTCACAAGTGTTGAATGTACTTAGCCCTGTGCTAAACATGAGAAGTTTGCTCACTCCTACGGACTACTGACACTGCAAATAACACCTAAATTCTACTCTAGGTAGTGCAGTAAAGGCTTGGAGATAAAAAAACACAGAAATGGAATCTCTGTTCATCTATATATATATCCTTTAAAGTGCTCGCTACAGGTAAGTGAGGAAGAAAGCAATGTTCTCATGATTTCTACTTGTTCTTTCCTATTTACCATTTAACTTTTACATAGAAATAAACTTGTAAAACAAAAGTGCAAAGTTAACTTGACCTTAAACATCCTTCTCTGCTTTTGCTAAGCCAAAGGTGATTTAAGAGGAATTCAGAGGTAAAAAAACAACCTATTATATCACCATAACACATATGTCTGAACACATATGTAAGATTCAGTTTTGAAGCTCTTTCAAAATATCACTACAAAGCAGACACAGTAAAGATAGTACAGAGAGCAAATGTCCTTTACAACAGAAAACAGTGTTCATTAATCCATGTAAGCAAAAGAATGCAGCATAATTCATCTTATCAACAGCGTGAGCACAGTGCAAGACTTGAAGTGCCCCAACACACTGTAAAATATAAATTTTATATATATTATAAAAAGATATAAATATAAATATAAATATAAATATAAATATAAATATAAATATAAATATAAATATAAATATAAAGAACAAATTGGGAACAATGTTATATAAGAGTTAGCATAATAATTATGAAGGGAGTCCTATATATGTATTTATTATCAAGGACACACAAAGCCACTTAGATCTATTGTTGATTTTTCAATATGGTTCTGTTCTATTAAGGGCAGAAAGATGAACTGTGCCAAAGGGCAGACAAGCATGGGCAAGTGCATGACAAAATTATGACAAGGGTGAAAATTACCAAAGCAGTCACATTTGTCTTTCAACATCTGAATTGACATTTTCAACACCAATGTTTCCATCCACCCACAGCTGAAAATTAACCAAAAGCTTTGAAAACACTTACTGTAAATGTTTATTTTCAACTGCATAATATGTGGGTGCTCCCATGGTCCACCTTTGACAAAGGTGTCCTGAATAACACTCTCAATGACAGAAGTGCAAGAGTAAACAGTGTGAGTGACTGATATTACACAAAACTACCTGGGAGGGCATTTGCTCTCTGTACTATCTTTACT